ATGTCGGCCAATGAACAGCATATCATTAGATTCAGTAAATATGGAAGATTTCAGAAGAGGAAGGGTTTTGTATTATCTCTATTATTGTTTAAGCATGATCAATTTTAGTCTAAAATTACACGTCAATAAATACTGAAATAACCACTCTCCCATAGGAATACATTATTTTGGCAGGTGTCATATAAAATATTCCTATGCCTTACCTATTGATGCGAATTTTATGAAACTTGGTTTCTGGTGTTTACGGATGTTAACTAAAATTATGATACCATTTTCATAATTTTATCTACACTAGAAAGCAGTTAGGCCTGAACATTGTCAAATGACCTAATAAATGCATAATTTGAGCAAATAGTTTACTTGAATCACACTAATAAAAATATTAATTTAATTAAAAATAAAGACTTTCGTTCTAATAGCAAGGTAGTTTTAATATTGCGTACATAAAAATTACTTTTTAATATAAAAATAATATTTAAAAATTTATTCTACAACAAATTTAACAATATATAAAAGCATATATCAGTGAGTACTACATCCATGGTCAATTAGCCTTGAAATCCGCCATTCGGCTGTACGAACGCCGCCTGTATGGGTGCGCCCCCAACACCGCCGTTGCCACCGACACCTCCAGCCCCTCCAACACCACCGGCTCCGTTGTTAACCGGGACGGGATAGTAGACGGGATAGGGATAACCACCGCCCCCTCGGCCGCCGCCATAACCGCCTCGGTATCCGCCGCCGCCGTAACCGCCACCGCACCGCTCCTCGGGCTCATCGGCCGGTCGGGCACAACACGATGCTATTGAAATGGCAATTATAACATGGTAACAATATTAGTATTTAACAATATGGTTTTAATTAATTTAACTAACCAAATAAAGCAACAGTTAGTAAGGCTGCGATTATTTTCATTGTGGTAGAAAATCTGTGATTTTTACAAATATAATAGGGGTATATTATGTGTTATTTAATGTGCCAAGCGGGCTTATTTATATCATAAAAAGTTTATAAACATCTACATGATCTGACTGTTTACTAGTAATGAACTTTACATGTTCTGGATGTATTTGATTTTAATTAAAAAATTATAATTAATTATTGTTAATTTAATTTAATATATAAAAGGTACCTGTAAACTTAAGTGAATGTTTATAATGCTTACAATGCTATTATCATTGTAACTTTCCTAGCATGTTTTAGGTAAGTGTTTAAATTAATATTAAATACAATTAATTATAAAATCACACTCCATTTAATCTATCTTGCTGGCATGAGCCTTGAACATACAAGTATATTATTAATTGTATTGTACTACTTTGATTATTAATTTTAAAGTCGCTAGAACATTTACGTCAATAATAATAATTAATTGGCGTTGTATTGACGCAAATGGTATAATACTTTAGATCAAAATATGTGTTAAATTTTGTTGTAGTTTAAATGAAATGATGACTTAAAATACGTTTAAAATAATTAATAATTTTGATGTATGTCTATTTTTTATAAAACAGGTAACTTGATAGTTGTTTTAAAGCTGTAAAGTAACGGGGTTCACCGGACTCGAAATTATTTAAAGAATTTTAAATAATTGATTATTTAATTGCAATAAAAAATTGTTTATATGTTAAATAAAATCAGATAATAAACTATTTAAATAATATTGCATAGAAATTAGCTTGGTCACTCATACCTTGAAATCACGATGTTAGCCTGCGACGGTATTATTAGCCTGGATGAAATATAGAGATTCTTCCACCATATCTGCCGTAACCACTATTATCATTTATTATTATTGTCAAATTACAATAAGTAATAAAAAAAATATATAAAAATGTTAAGTTACTGTGAAAATAGAAACTTTTATTTCAACAAGAAAGATAATTTAATACAGAATATGTTAAATTTAAGTTTTAAACATGAATGTAATTTTTAAAAATTAATTTTCCTACAAATTTGATAATATCTAAAGACACATATCGGTAAGTATCACAAACATGGTCATTTAGCCTTGATTCCCTGTAGTGCCATTGTTACCACCGGTACCCGTATTCCCACCATTACTACCGGTACCTGTATTTCCATTGGTATAAACGGGAATGTATACGGGATAGGCATAACCACCGCCGTTACCGTAACCACCCCGGCCATACCCGCCACCACCATAACCACCCCCACCGTAACTGCTACC